TTCACCATGTTGACCAGGATGGTCTCGATCTCTTGACCTCGTGATCCACCCGCCTCGGCCTCCCAAAGTGCTGGGATTACAGGCTTGAGCCACCGCGCCCGGCCTGAGCTGAGGACTTATACCAGTCTTTAACAGCTATACTGAGCTGTACCATAAAATTCACTCGCTTTACATGTACAGGTTGATGGGTTTTTTGAGATGGGTACATAGCTGTGCAACTGTCACTACAATCCAGCTCTAGAACATTTCTGTCACTCCACAAACGTGGTTTCTTGGTACTCATCTGCAAAGCACTGTTACATCAGAGCTCATGAGAGATCTGCTGGATGGAGACTGCCTCATTTTGTAGATGAGGAAACTGAGGCTCAAAGGGGCAGAGCCACGTGTCTGAGGCCACACAGCTGGGCACTGACAGAGCAGGGACTCAAATCCACGCTTGGTTTCTCTGCCTAGGGGCTGTGCTCTGTGTCTTCCTAGGTGAACAGCAGGCCCAGTGTTCCGGGTCTGTGCCTCGCTCCACGATTTCTCTCCTGTGTCTCCTTGTTCTATTCTACATGGAGTCGGAGGGGGTTGCTGGAGGGGTCCAGGACTTAAGCTGGTGTCCCCCTAAGTGGAGGGTGGAAGTGGAAGGTTTCTGAGCCCTAAGCCCTAATCCAGGCCCATCTGAGCCCCACTGTAGAGAGTTCCTCTCCTCTCACCCAAACCGAGTATGCTTGAAATGCAGTAAGAGAAAAGCACATTTCTTGGGCATTGTCATTATATAGGAAAACAGAGTTTAAAAATATATTAGTTTCTCCTTTTAAGTTTCCCCAGGCTTCAGCTACACATTGTATAGTTCCATTTATATGAAGTGTCCAGAAGAGCAACTCCAGAGAGACAGAAAGCAGCTGAGTGGCTGTCAGGGGTTGGGCGAGGGAGATTCGGGGATGGTGGGCAGTAATGGGAGGATGAAAAAATTCTGAAATTTGACAGGGATGATGGTTGCATTGCATTGTGAATGTACAAAAAGCCACTGAATCGTTTAACCATAATTTCTAAGAAAAGTTTCCCCTGGATAACATTTACATACAAGGCCCATTTATGTTTCCTTCATAAGACATTTCCTTAATGAGTTTTAGTATTTGGCTCTCTGACAACCTGGTAAGAGTCTGACTGGTCCCCATGGCCATTAGAGGGTTAAAGCCACATGGTGGCCACTCTCAGCTGAGGGACCAGGGAAGGCGAGTCTTCCAGCTTTAACTACGATGCAGTGAGCACAGCAGCCCCTTACCTTCATTCCTTCTTCCTTCCCACTTTCAATCAATTCATCTATTCTCTTCCTTTCTTCAGACTGGGTAGAGAGAAAGAAAAATAGCATCAGCATCCTCTCCCAAGCCCATTGTGGGTAGCTTGAAGGCCTTGGGCCTTCATTGCCTAAGCCATGCCCACCGGGTCACCGTCGGCCTCATTTGGCATCATTGTGGATGATGGGTACCCAGTGATGCCAAAGCCCCCAAGTATCCCTTCTTTTCTCATCAACCATCTGTTGTGGATGATATGTCACCTGGGGTTCAACTAGATCAGGAAGGAAACAGTGGGGCTTGTAAATATGTTCTTTGCCCATGCAGCGTGTTGGAAAATGTCCAACTTGCCCAAGTTTGAAAATCAGGCTTCTGACTTCATAGAAAATCAGGTACAGCAGATCGGAGGCTGTGCCCTTTAGATGGGACACAGGCAGTCCACATCCCTCCGTTCTGACGGCCCCTACTGCTATCTGTTTAGGATCACTGAGCTTCACCTGTACAGAAGCCACCACCATGAATAAAAAGAGGGCCTCCAATCCAGAGTGCCAATACAGCCCTGAACAGAGAACCAGGAGGAGGAGGCACTCCCAGATTCACCTCTCCTCTAAGGCCAACCCTCTTGCACCTAGCTCCATCCCTAACCCTGGGTTCCACTGCTCTGCCATCGCACAGACACTATGAAACCAAAGGGAACCAAATGAGGACAGATCAGAAGCTCCAAACCAGTGTGGCTTGCCCCAAACCAGCATGTCTCGCCAACATAGACTTTCACCAAACCAGATGGCACATGTCGAGAGCCCGGCACCAACTGCTGAGCTCAGCCCATTCCCCTACACAGAGGCCCAAACCAGCTTGCAGCAATCTGTGCTGGGAACCATGGTGAATGAGTAACATCAAGGACAGTCCCAAACCCTGCCATCTCCTCTCCATCTCCATTCTCATTGCTGCCCTGAGCCCAGCCACAGTACCTCTCTAGTCACCCGGCTTCCACTCTGACCTCAGGGAACACTCAGTTCTCCACATGACAGTCAGTGGCTTCTTTAAAATGTAAATGAGGCCAGGTGTGCTGGCTCTCTCCTGCAATCCCAACTCTTCAGGAGGTCTAGGAGGAAGGATGGCTTGAGGACAGGAGTTAGAGACCAGCCTGAGCAACATATCCCTACAAAAAGTAAATAAGCTGGGTGTGATGGCACATACCTGTGGTCCCAGCTACTCTAGAGGCTGAGGAAGGAGGATTGCTGGAGCCCAGGAGGTTGAGGCTGCAGCGAGCCATGATTGCGCCACTGCACTCCAGCCTGGGCAACAGAGTGAGACCCTGTCTTAAAAAAACAAAAAACGTGACCAGGCATGGTGGCTCACATCTGTAATCCCAGCACTTTGGGAGCTGAGGCAGGTGGATCACCTGAGGTCAGGAGTTCGAGACCAGCCTGGCCAACATGGCAAAACCCACCTCTACTAAAAACACAAAAATTAGCTGGGCATGGTGCTGGGTGGCTGTAATTCCAGCTACTCGGAAGGCTGAGGCAGGAGAATCGCTTGAACCCAGGCGGTAGAGGTTGCAGTGGGCCAAGATTGCGCCACTATACCCTGGGAGACAGAGTGAGACAAAAAAAAAAAAACCTTCCCAAAAACTTACTTAATAGTAATATACCTGATAAAACCTCACATATCAATATTAACCTTCAACATAAATGGATTAAATGTTCCACTTAAGAGATATGGAAAGGTCAAGAAGGTTAAAAAAAAAAAAAAAAAAAAAAAAAAGAAAGATACATGTTGGTGGAATGGATTAAAAAAACAAAACTTGGCCAGGCACAGTGGCTCATGCCTGTAATCCCAGCACTTTGGGAAGCCAAGGCAGGTGGATCACCTGAGGTCAGGAGTTCAAGAACTGCCTGACCAACATGACGAAACCCTGTCTCTACTAAAAATACAAAAAATTAGCTGGGCATGGTGGTGCACATCTGTAATCCCAGCTTCTTGGGAGTCTGAGGCAGAAGAATTGCTTGAACCTGGGAGGCGGAGGTTGCAGTTAGCCAAAATCACATCACTGTATTCCAGCCTGGGTGACAGAGTGAGACTTTGTCTCAAAACAGAAAACAAAAACAAACAAACAAAAAACTTCAACAGTAATATACGACTGTTGGTTACTTAGCTGTGACAAATTTACCAGAGTAACTTAAGTGGGAGAAGCTGGGTAAGGAGTCTGGGGAACTCTCTGTATTATCTTTATTAACTTTTCTATACAATTATTACGTATTACAAATTATTACAAATAATAACAATTATTAAAATTAAAATTATTAGAAAATAAAAAGATTTTCCGAGATGGAGTCTCACTCCTGTTGCCTAGGCTGGAGTGCCATGGCACGATCTCGGCTCACCACAACCTTCATCTCCTGGGTTCAAGCAATTCTCCTGCCTCAGCCTACTGAGTAGCTGGGATTACAGGCATGCGCCACCACGCCTGGCTAATTTTGTATTTTTAGTAGAGATGGGGTTTCTCCATGTTGGTCGGGCTGCTCTCAAATTCCCAAACCTCAGGTGATCCGCCTATCTCAGCTTCCCAAAGTGCTGGGATTTTGCGTGCCCAGCCTAAAATTTTTTAATTTTAATGTTTTTAGGTACGTGGTAGGTTGTATAAAGAGAAGGTCTTAGACCAAGTTTTTTCCAATGGTCTCTGAGGTTCTGCAGGACCCAGGGCCCATCTTCCTAGCTTCATCTACTTCCCTTGCCCTGTTCCCACACTCAGCCACATCTGTGGGCTCTTTGAAAAGATGGAGCCTGCTCCTGGCTCAGGGCTTTGCACTTTCGGCTCCACTGCCTGGGGGGCCCTTTCCCAATCTATCTGCCTGGCTCGCTTCCTCCTTTCTTTGACGGCTCTGCTCAAAAGCTACTTCCTGAGAGAAATTTCCCTGACTCCCTTCACCTAGCCATGCCATCAAATCACTCAGTTTTACTAAATTAATATCAAAGTGTTTTCCAAAACCATCTTGCTCTTGTAGTTGGCTTTTTAATTATTTTTTAAGATGGAGGTCTCACAATGTTGCCCAGGTTGGTGGTGAACTCCTCCTCTCCAGCCACCCTCCCACCTCAGCCTCCCAAGTAGCTGGAATCTTTTTTTGTTGTTCATTACTCCCCATTTGAAAATAAGCCCCACAGGAGGTGGACGTTGTGGTGAGCCAAGATTGCACTATTGCACTCCAGCCTGGGCAACAAGAGAAAACTCCATCTCAAAAAAAGAAAAAGAAAATAAGCCTCATGGGCCAGGTGCAGTAGCTCATGCCTGTAATCCTAGCACTTTGGGAGGCTGAGGCGGGAGATCATGAGGTCAGGAGTTCAAGACCAGCCTGGCCAACATGGCAAAACTCCATCTCTACTAAAGATACAAAATATTAGCCGAGCATGATGGCAAGCGCCTGTAATCCCAGCTACTCAGGAGGCTGAGGCAGGAGAATTGCTTCAACCCGGGAGGGAGGTGGAGGTTGCAGTAGGCCAAGATGGCACCATTGCACTCTAACCTAGGTGACAGGGTGAGAATCCATCGCAAAAAACAAAAACAAACAAACAAAACACAGAAAAGAAGCCCCATAAGTCCCAGGGCCTGGTCTAGTTTACTGTGGAATCTCCTGGTCTAGAACAGTGCACACAGCAGGCCCTCAAAGCAAAACCACCACCATCACACACACACAACCGCCTTGCTGTGAAGTACGGGTGGTCATGGAAAGACCGGGGTAGCAGAATGGGAGTTTTTCTGCTGGGACTGAACAGGGCAGACAGATGTGCAGAAGGAAGCTGGGCCAGGCCAGATGTCTCCGCGCAAAGCCATGGAGGCTGAGTCTCCCAAAGGCCAGGAGTTTGGGGCCTGCAAACAACCAGCCCTGGGCTTCCTAAAGGGAATTCCGGCAGGGGCCCACAGGTGGGCCTAGAGGCAGATGGAGTGGGAGGGATGCAAGGTCGGAACTAGGGCAAGTGAGGAGCGCCTGTGACCAGGAAGAAGGGGACCTTCCGGAGCAGAATCAGCAGGCTGCTTGCACATCTGGCCCTGGAGCTGGCCAAGAGGAAGCCCAGGCATTGCCAAGAGGTATGGTCCCTGCCCTGCAGCTGGCTGCCACCCCACCCGCAGCCAGGCTGGCCGGTGAACAGGCCCCCGCAGTGAAACACTCAGGAGGTAGGGCATCTCTCCAAGGCCCACCTTGTGTCCAAACCCAGTAGCCCTGATTCCACCCTGTTGTCCAGGTCCCCAGCCCTGGCGCTAGGCCCATCCTGGCACTGTCTTCAGCCTCAGGGGAGGTGTGCAAAAGGCTTTGAATCCCAGTTTCACCCGGACCACCTAGCCAACAACAGGCTCTATTATGTCCCACCCTCCTGGACCCCCAGCCTAGGCCTAACATGGCAATCAGGTCAGGACTGACCCCACCCTTCAGATGAGCCCTGGCTGTCCCGTTCTTAGGTTTCAACTGTGCAGTCAGAAAATACTCCGCCCTGACCACCTCCGGCCACGTCATCCCGACCAGCTACAGCCTCCTGCCCTGGCCAGCAACAGCTCGCATGGCTTCACTCAGCAGAGCCAACACAAACAGTCAGGGGCACAGCACGGCTCCCCGTCCAGGAACAGGGCGAGCTTTCTTGTGTTTGCAGACAGCCCTTTAGGGAAGCAAGTGCGCCTTCCCTTCCGTTCATCTGCTGCAAGATTCAGCAGACCTGCATCCTGTCCCTTCGAAGGCTTCACTCTGCCCAGAACAAACTCTTGCTTCTTTTAAGGCCAATTCGGCTGCCCCTACCCTAAAGCCCACAGCAGCCCTTGGTGGGCGCTCAGCAGAGGCGCTCTGTGTGCGCATGCTGCAGCTCCGACCCTGGTTGGGAGGTGTCTGGTGTTCTGTGGCCTGGCACTGCCTCATCCTCTGCAGTGTTTTTTTTTGTTTGTTTTTGTTTTTTTCTTTCTGAGATGGAGTCTAGCTCAGCCGCCCAGGCTGGAGTGCAGTGGCCCAATCTTGGCTCACTGCAACCACCATCTCCTGGGTTCAAGTGATTCTCCCATCTCAGCCTCCCGAGTAGGTGGGATTATAGGCATCCCCCATCATATCTGACTAGTTTTTTTATTTTAGTAGAGACGGGGTTTCACCATGTTGGCCAGGCTGGTCTTGAACTCCTGACCTCAGGTAATCCGCCTATCCCAGCCTCCCAAAGTGCTAGGAATACAGGCATAAGCCACTGTGCCAGGCTCAGTGCTGTCTTTAAGAATGACCTAGCACAGCCTCCCACTGCCGGCGAATGTTTTATAACAGCTCATTCTTGGCTGAAAGACATTGCCTTTTTCAGGCAATAAAACCAAAGCTGCTCTCTGTGGGGAAGAAAATGGACGCCTTTTTTTTTTTTTTTAAAATGAAGCTTCATCGAGTAAAAAAAAAAAAAAAAAAAAGAGAAAGAATACTAGATTATTGTATATCTGCACATTTAACATCAAGACACGCTGAAGGAGTCCACATGAGGGTTGAAACGCTGAAATTGCCAGAGCCAGGGTCCCCACCTCTTTGTGTAGGATACAATCTTGAGCGTCTCTCCCAAGCCTGGTGGTCACTGCGGGGTGAGGGAGAGCAGAGGAGCAGCCCCAGGTGTCCCTGAGGGGAGCGACCGGAGGGACCTGCCACGCCCTGGATTTAACAGAATAGCAATAACCACACCTCACTGCAGCAAATACTGACTTCCTGCTGCATAGCTCAACCCTCTGCAAACACAGCGGCGGAGGCCCGCACAGGCCAGCTGGCCTTCCAGCTGAGCTCTGGTCTGCAGGCTCCTAGCACAGCAGCAGCGTGGAAAAGAGCAGACAGGAGTGACATGCTAGGGAAGCAGTGGTGGCGATAGTAACAGTTAGCTGGCGCTTACTGAGTGCCAAGCATGGTTCTAAGCGTTCCTCTTGCACAGCCACATTTATTTAATGCTCACGACAGCCCAGCAGGTACTATATTATTGTACCATTTTACAGACTGGAGAGTCAGGGCACAGACAGGGTAAGTGACTGGCCCGAGGTTACACAACCAGCAAGTGGCTCCCAGCCACTGCTCTTTACCACCATGGACTATGACATGCAAACTCCCAGACAACAAGAAAAGCCTCTGAAAGAACGCACAGCCTTCCCCACGGTCTCAGGCTCCCAACGGCTCTGCCAACAAGTCCCGGAAAATCCAGCTTCACAGACACACCTAGGTTTCCCTGCCACATGCGATAAGTCACAAGGTTCCTTCACACAAGTGTCTTTACCAAGCCCTGCAGTGACCCCCTCAGAAAGGCAGGACAAGCTTTGCGAGGATCCCTGATAGATCCAGGAGAAAACCAAGGCCAGAAAGGCCAACTGCCCCAAAATGACAAAAACAAGGCTCAGGACGGACAGACGGACGGACGGACGGATGGGCGCGCACGCACGCACAGACAGACAGACACACACACAGACACACACACACACACACACACACACACGCCAAGCACCACCTGGCACGCACGCACAGACACAGACACAGACACAGACACAGACACACACACACACAGACACACACACACACACACACACACACACACACACACACGCCAAGCACCACCTGGTGGGCCTCCCTGCCCCTCCACGAGCTGGAATTTAAAGCACGTGACTCTACCTGCAGTTCAGCTTTGCTCTTCCTGGAGCTCCTTCGGACAGGGTAGAAATCTGTAAGTTTGCGATTCTGTTGCGTTTTTCCTTGAGCTCTGGGGAAGAGGGGAAGAGGAGAAAGTAAATATCAGGGCCAGGCGCAGTGGCTCATGCCTGTAATCCCAGCATTTTGGGAAGCCAAGGCAGGCAAACCCTGTCTCTATTAAAAATGTAAAAATTAGCTGGGTGTGGTGGCACGTGCCTATAATCCCAGCTACTCGGGAGGCTGAGTCAGGAGAATCACTTGAACCCGGGAGGTGGATGTTGCAGAGAGTAGAGATTGTGCCATTGCATTCCAGCCTAGGCGACAGAGCGAGATTGCATCTCAAAAAAAAAAATAAGTAAATATCAGGACTGAAAACCTGGAGGCCCACAGTCCTTAGGAGAAGGCACACAGCTCCTTAGGAGGCAGCTCCTTGGAGATAATGTCACTTAAACACCTTTGTCCACTGAAGCCTGCAGGTCGCTCAGTTCACCTGCCCATGAGGGCCTCAGCAGAGTTTCAAAGACTGGCTGGGTGAGGTGGGAGGCTGAAGTAGGAGGATCCCAACACTCTGGGTGGCTGAGGTGGGAGGATCACTTAAGCCCAGGAGTTCAAGACCAACCCAGGCAACACAGCAAAACCCCGTCTCTAAAAAACGGAAAGAAATTAGCCAAGTATGGTGGTGCATACCTGTGGTCCCAGCTACTCAGGAGGCTTAAGCAGGAGGATGACTTGGGCCTGAGAGGTTGGGGCTGCAGTGAACTACTGCACTCCAGCCTGGGTGACAGGGCAAGACTCTGTCTCAAAAACAACAACCAAAAATCAAACAAAAAAATAAATTTAAAAAACGAGGGCTGCTTATGCTCGGGTGGGAAAGGAGAGGAGGAAGGAGAAGCTCTTGAACTCTGACCCATGCCAGATCCAAAAACTGACAAATAGTGGCATCCCTGCTGATGACTCGGGGCATCTGAGTCTTTGAGGTGAGAGAGGCTGAGAGGTGGCCTCTGAACCCCCGCAGGCACCTGAGCAGACTTCCCTGGGGTCAGAAGAACCAAACTGCTCTACATCAGGAGGAGGACTGAAGGGGACACTTACTTTTTTCGGGGGGCCTGTTTGCCCTTGATGGGCTTTTTCAAGGCTTGCTTGGCGACAGCTGCATTGGCGGAATCACAAGACGAGGGTGGAGTTTTTGGAGGTTCTGCTGCTTCAGATTTTTGGTTTGGAAAAGGTGCCAGGGGACCTCTCCTGGCATCTCTGATCTTCTGTTCCTCGGACTTCATGGCGCTCCGTACTGCGTTCCCAGCATTTCTTTTCTCTGCAGGTGGAGGCAAGGGAAAGACAGGGGTTTATTCTGTACCCTGTCTCTCCACTTCTAGACCATCAGCTGCATTCTAAGACAGGCTTTGAGAAGAGAGGATCCTGGGTGTGTCAGGCACGAGCACCCTAAGCCTCTTAAGCCCCGTGTCCGTTATCGGATATGACACGAAGAGTGCCTAGCTCTAGCTCAATTTTTCAACCAAGACACTGGGCAGAGGTTTTAGGCTTCTGCGTCTTGACGTTGCAGATAGCCTGTGAGGCAGAAGCACCAAAGACAGAGACGCTGGCAAGGGCGCTCGATCAATAGCTTTCAGGAATCAGGCTGCAGACTCAGACCAAAAGCGCCATTCCTGAAGACTGGGATAGCATTAGGGGACAGGAGTAAGGTGACAAAGCAGAAACTCTTCCCAAGAGCTGCCTGGCACTCTTCATTTCAGACTCTCAAGAAAAAGAAGGTCCCCTTCTAGTGGGTTAAAGCCCCACGTGCACAGCAGTTCTCAGCATGGTACCCCAGCAGACTGGCCTGTGTGTTGGGAGGCATACTGCAAATGATCCGTCACTTAAAACACTCATGGAATGCCAGTGTTAGAAAACTGCTTGCCTTATAACAAATGATTTGCTTTTTTAAAAAACTAAGTAAACAGTACACTGCTCACAGATGTAAAATGGTGCAGTCACTTTAGAAAGAGTTTGGCATTTTCCCAAAAAGTTAAACATAGAGTTACCATATGACCCAGCAATTTCACTCCTAGGCATCTATTCCAGAGAATTAAAAACATATGTCCCCACAAAAATCTATGCAGAAATGTAACGGCTTATTTGCAAGCCAAAAAGTAGAAACAACCCAAATGTCCAACAACAGATAAGTAAACAAAATGTGGTCTATCCACACAACGGAATATTATGCAGCCCAATAAAAAGGAATGAAGGGCTGGGCACGGTGGCTCACCTGAGGTCAGGAGTTTACGAACAGCCTGGCCAACATGGTGAAACCCTGTCTCTACTAAAAATACAAAAATATTACCCAGGCATGCTGGCGTGCACCTTAATCCCAGCTACTTGAGAGGCTGAGGCAGAACTGCTTGAACCCGGCAGGCAGAGGCTGCAGTGAGCCAAGATTGCACCACTGCACTCCAGCCTGGGTGACAGAGAGAGACTCTGTTTCAAAAAAAGAAATGAAAGGCCAGGCGTGGTGGCTCACGCCTGTAATCCAAACACTTTGGAGGCCAAGGTGGGCGGATCACCTGAGGTCAGGAGTTCAAGACAGCCTGACCAACATGGTGAAACCCCGTCTTTAAAAAAAAAAAAAAAGGAAAGAAATGAAGCACTGTAGATGGGGTCTTGCTCTATCACCTAGGCCGGAGTGCAGTAGTGTGATCTTGGCTCACTGAAACCTCCACCTCCCAGGTTCTAGCAATTCTCCTGCCTCAGCCTCCTGAGTAGCTGGGACTATAGGCCATGTTGCCATACCCGGCTACTTTTTTGTATTTTAGTAGAGACAGGGTTTCACCATGTTGCCCAGGCTAGTATTGCAGGTACTGAGCTCAGGCAATCCACCCGCCTCGGCCTCCCAAAGTGCTAGGATCACAGGCATGAGCCACTGCACCCGGCCAGCACTGATACTTATTACACCACAGATGCCTTTGAAAATACAATGCTCAGTGAAAGAAGCCAGACACAAAAGACTACCTATTTTGTGATTCCATCCATATGAAATTTTCAGAACAGGCAAATCCATACAGACAGAAAGGAGTTTAACGGTTGCCTTCAACTAGAGGGATGGGGGATGGAAGGTGATGCCTAATGGATACCTTTCTGGAGTAATGGAAATGTTCTGGAATTAGACAGCGGTAATGGCTGCACAACTCTGTGAAAATACTAAAAACCACTGACTCTTACACTTGAAAATGAACGTTATGATACATTACCTACATCTCGATAAAGAAGAAAGAAAAATAAATACGGCCAGGCGCAGTGGCTCACACCTGTAATCCCAGCACTTTGAGAGGCCAAAGTGGGCGGATCACCTGAGGTCAGGAGTTCGAGACCAGCCTGGCCAACGTGGAGAAACACCATCTCTACTAAAAACACAAAATTAGCCAGGCGTGGTGGCACATGCCTGTAATCCTAGCTACTTGGGAGGCTGAGGCAGGAGAATCCCTTGAACTCAGGAGGCAGAGGTTGTGGTGAGCCAAGATCGCGCCATTGCACTTCAGCCTGGGCAACAACAGTGAAACTCCATTTCAAGAAAAAAAAGAAAAAGAAAAAGAAAAAAACACATTAGGCTGGGCACAGTGGCTCACTCCTATAATCCCACCACTTTGGGAAGCCAAGGCGGGTGGATCGCCTAAAGTCAGAAGTTCAAGACCAGGCTGGCCAACAGGGCGAAACCCCACCTCTACTAAAAATACAAAAAATTAGCCAGGCGTGGTGCCGGGTACCTGCAATCTCAGCTACTTAGGAGGTCGAAGCAGGAGAACTGCTTGAACGTGGGAGACGGAGGTTGCAGTGAGCTGAGATTGCACCATTATATTCCAGCCTGGGAGACAGAGAGAGACTGTCTCAAAACAAAACAAAACATTAACACCATACAGATCTTTCTTCCTCCTCTACACGCCTTCTTGGGTGAAATCAGAGAGAATTAAAACCAGGACATCAGGCCCAGGAGTGTGTGGTACCCCTGAACATCATCTGTCACTCAGTCTGTGGCACAGCAGAATCATGGACAAGAGCCTGGACCTTGGGGTCTCCAAAGTTCAGCTGACCTAAATTAATTTTATTGTTATATTACAGATGGGGGTTTCTCTCTGTTGCCCAGGCTGGAGCACAGTGGCATGATCATAGCTCACTGTAGCTTTAAACTCTTGGGCTCTAGGGATCCTCCTGCTTCAGTCTCCTAAGCAGCTGGGACTACAGATGCATGCCACCATGCCTGGCTAATTTTTTTATTTTCATTTTTGTAGAGACGAGGCCTCACTGTGTTGCCCAGGCTGGTCTCAAACTCCTGGGCTCAAGTGATCCTCCTGCCTCTGCCTACCAAAGTGCTGGAATTACAAGCCTGAGCCACCATGTCCGGCCTCTGAGCCAAAAGTCTAATCATGGCCATTTAGCAAAACCATGAGCCAAATACACTAGCTTGTATACCAGGCCACCATTTGGGACAATGTACAGACTGCCCTATTTTAAAGGACAAGAGTCCGGGCAACTACCATTTATAGACATTGCCTTTCTTTTTTTTTTGAGACAGTCTCGCTCTGTCACCAGGCTGGAGTGCAGTGGCACAATCTCAGCTCACTGCAACCTCTGCCTCCTGGGTTCAAGTGATTCAGCCTCCTAAGTAGCTGGGACCACAGGCACATGCCACTACACCCAACTAATTCTGGTATTTTTAGTAGAGACGGGGTTTCATCATGTTGGCCAAGAAGATGGTCTCGATCTCCTGACCTTGTGATCCACCACCTCCCAAAGTGCTGGGATTACTGGCATGAGCCACCGATCCTGGCCAATAGACAGCGCCTTTCCCCAACCCTATGGGCAGAAATTCTAAGTGCTGGGGCCGGGCGCGGTGGCTCACGCCTGTAATCCCAGCACTTTGGGAGGCCGAGGCAGGTGGATCACGAGGTCAAGAGATGGAGACCATCCTGGTCAGCATGGTGAAACCCCGTGTCTACTAAAAATACAAAACATTAGCTGGGCATGGTGGTGCGTGCCTGTAATCCCAGCTACTCGGGAGGATGAGGCAGGAGAATTGCCTGAACCCAGGAGGCGGAGGTTGCGGTGAGCCGAGATCGCGCCATTGCACTCCAGCCTGGGTAACAAGAGTGAAACTCCGTCTCAAAAAAAAAGAAAAAAAAAAAAAAAAAAGAAATTCTAAGTGCTGAAGGTGCAGGGATGAGCAAAGGTGTACGGCTGGCAGTCCAGGGGTGAAGAGCTGGCACATGGAGCCCATCACAAAGCCCTTTGGCATCCATGCTGCAACCACCCTTCAGAACAGCACTGTGTGTATGAGGTCAGACTCCTCTCTCTCCATTTACAGATGAGAGAACTGAGGCTCAGAAGACAGCAGCAACCTGCCTAAGCCTCCTTCTTTCAGGTGGCAAACTTCAGTTGGGAACCCAAGTCATCTGAAGATTGAATAAAACAATACTGTCCTGTGTACCAGAGGAAATCAAGCCGAGGGTAGGCTCCTGTTTCCAGTTCAGAGCTTTCCTGGCCCTGGCCCTCAGATCCAGCCCCAGAGGTCGCGCCAAATCGTCATTTATGACACTTTCCGTTAGCGAACACAAAGCTTCCTTATATGGAGCTGCTGGCAGCCAGAGGCTCTGCTTCTTTCAGACAAGTTTTAATTAGGAGAGAGCATGGTGAATTGGGGAAAGCTGACACTCCCCACCGCAGCTTTGAAAGGGAATATTTGGATTAGAGCAAGATGTCTAAGAGGTTTCAGTTTGTTTTGCAATACCAGGTGGAGTTTTCAGTAACCATGTATTTTCTCCTTCAACATTTTAACTCATTGCAGAGGATGCTGCTTCAGAGACTAGAACCGAACGCTTGAGTGACAAGAAACTTTAAAAATGGGGTCAAGCAGCTGGGTGCAGTAGCTCATGCCTGTTATCCCGGCATTTTGGGAGGCCAAGGCGGGTGATTCACCTGAGGCCAGGAGTTCGAGACCAGCCTGGCCAACATGGTGAAATCCCATCTCTACCAAAAATACAAAAATTAGCTGGGCATGGTGGCCAGCGCCTGTAATCCCAGCTACTTGGGAGGCTGAGGCAGGAGAATCGCTTGAGCCTGGGAGGTGGAAGTTGCAGTGAGCCGAGATCATGCCACTGCACTCCAGCCTGGGTGACGAGCAAAATCCGTCTCAAAAAAAAAAAAAAAAGAGAAAGAAAGAAAGAAATGGGGTCAAGGCCGGCTCATAAAAGGGAAGGAAATCGGTTCCCTGCATGAATGCATTAGTTAGGTCTGCAATCGCCTTGTCTATACAACCGAGTTCATGACTTCTGCACTTTTAACACTTATGAGCCTCTCTAATTGTGAGTCAGGTGTGTTATTTTTGCAACTAGGCAAGAAAATCAAGCTTGAAAGACACGCTAACTCTTGTGAAAGCAGGGAGAACCTGTCAGACCAACAGGGCGCACACCCTGGGACAGGCCACACTTTCAGCGGCAAGACAGAACATGGCTCAAACCTCTGAAATCTGAGACTGAAAAGGCTGGATAAATATATATATGTGCATTCTAGAGGAGGAGAGAGGCTGGGATCGGAACGAGGCCATTTCAGAAGCTTACCTTCTCGTTTCCTGTAGATTCCGGCTAATGGTTTCCCCTGGCATTTGACTTCGTGATGTGTAACTGAGTTCTCTTCCTGAAGGGGGAAACGCATTCCAGAGCATTTGTTCGGGCTCATGTAGGAATAGATCTTTGACTGCCCGATAAATACATTCTCCTAAAAAGACAAAAACATATTCTGAAAGAGGCTTGAAGAAGATCCTAGAGCATTCACAAGGAGGAGGAATACAAAAGACGAAAATCAGACAACACGGTTTTTCAAAAACTGGGCTACCAGGGGATGCCAGCCCCCGTTTATCTCAGAAGAGCACTGCCAGGTTTAGAATCCCAGGACCAGCGAAAGGTTTCCTGTACGCTCTGGTCTCTAATATAAACTAAGGACACATCTGGCCATCAGGAGAGCCGGCAGCACACCAAGGTCTATATAGGAAGGAGACAGCCTACCAGCAAAAGGGAGGTCATGTGAATTGCTGGGCTATCTTTAGGAGTTCACTCCCCTGGCAGGCGCCGCAGGACTCAGCACAGAAACAGGCCCAGGGAACCTGATTAACCACTTGGTGCTGAAGGCAGCTGGAGGGCCTGTCAGTACAGCCAGAGCCTTTTGCGTGCCCGAGCCTGACCCCTCTCAAATCACTGCGGCCCCGCAGCCTCCCAGGACTGCGACGGGAGGACTTCTCTCAGGGTTACTGGGGAGGCTGGGGAGAGCAGAGGCCACAGCCAGCGCATTCGGGGCGGCAAGCCGCACCTGGGCGTCAGTAAGAGAGCGGACGCGACGGTGGGGCCCCTCCTCTGAGTAAGCACAGACTGAGGATGGCGTCCCCAGAAGCAACGCGGGAGCCTCGCCGCCTCGGGAACCATTCCACACCGAGGCGGCGAGACCAATGACCTCTCCGAGGGGCCAGGGCAGGCCCCGCACAGCCGGGGACGGCGGCCACCTCCGGGGAAGTTGGGTCTCGGGCTGCGGAGACGCCATGAAGGCGCAGTCAAACTTTTCCGAGGTCAAACACCGCCAGGCTCATGGCGGAGCCGTGTGGGCGCCACTCCCAGCCAGGCGGCAGCAAAGGAAGCGGCCCGGCCGGACGCCCCGGGGCGGCGCGGGAGGGGACCTGGGGTCGCCCACGTGCTTACGGCCCAGGCCGGGCAGGCGCGCCGCGGGGGTGCGGGGAGGGTGCCTGCTTACCCCGTCGGTGCGGGGCCTCCCCGGGCCCCTCCGCTCCACCATCTCCGGGCCCGGGGCCGTCGCTGCCACCGCCGCCGCCGCCGCCGCCGCCTCCACCGCGCGGGGCTTGGACATCTTCCTGCCTGGAGAGGGGGACCCGGGGGAAGCGGGGGAGGGGGCGCTCAGGGCGCGGCGGGGCGGGGAGCGGGGCCGCCCGGGCCGGGCGCCGCGACGGCGCCTCCCGCCGCAGCCATGTTTCGAGGCCCCGGCGCTGGTGGGCCGACCTCGGCGCCGGGAGGGCCGGGCGGGGCCCCGCCCGGCCCTCCCGGC